TAGGACGGCGCCGTCGGCGCAGCGCAGGAGCTTCTCGACGGTGGGGCTGCCGCCGTGCTTCTGGGCGAAGGCGCGCAGGAAGGCCTTGCGCAGCGCCGACACCTTCTTCTCCGCGGGCACGCGCGACACGCGGAACGTGACCTGGCTGCCGTCGGGCCCCGGCGGCGCGTAGCGCAGCAGGACGTCGACCATCGTGCCGGGCTGCTCCGCCGACCTGAGAATTAAATGTTGCCCTTTGCGATGGCCTCTGCTTTTGAGCTCGCTCGCGCCGAGTAATTTCGTCGCGCACGCTGCGGTAGCACGAACAACTCCAAGCATGGACGCCGCCGCGTGCCTGCGCGCGGACTTCGCGCCCGGCAACGTGCCCAAGGGCGTCGCCTGGTCGCCCGACGGCACGTGCCTGCTGACGGCGACGGAGGACGCCCGCGTGCGCCTCTACGAGGTGCCCGGCGCCGTGCTCGACGGCGGCGCGCCGCCGTCGCGGGACTGGGCCGAGACCTTCGCCTGCGCCGAGGGCGAGGCCGTTTATGATTATAAATGGTACCCCCAGATGCACAGCGACGACCCGATCAGCTGCTGCTTCGCGTCGTGCGGCCGCGGCCAGCCCGCGCACCTCTGGGACGCGTTCACGGGCGCCTGCCGCGGCTCCTACGTCGGGCGGGACCACCTCGACGAGAACGCGCCCGCGTACAGCCTCGCGTTCTCGCCGTCGGGCGCGCGGCTCCTCTGCGGCGGCGACCGCTGCGTCCGCGTCTTCGACACGGGCCGCTGCGGCTCCGACTGCGACGCGCGGCCGACGGCGGCGACGCGCCGCGCCAAGTCGGGCGTCAAGGGCCTGCTGGGCGCCCTGGCCTGCCGGGACGAGGCCGTCTACGCGGTGGGCTCGTACGGAGGGCAAATCGCGGTCTACGACGGCCGCGAGCCGTCCACGGGCCCGGCGCTGCGCGTCTGCAAGGACAAGCCCCTGGGCGGCGTCACGGCCCTGGCGTTCGACGGCCGCGGCCGCCTCTTCGCGGCGTGCCGCAACGAGCGAGATCGGGCCTGCGTCCGGGGCTTCGACCTCCGCACCGGCCGCGTCGCCGTCCGGTGCCGCCGCGGCGCGACGCCGAGCCACCAGCGGCTCGGCTTCGACCTGCGGGAGGACCGGCTCTTAGCCGGCGGCGCCGACGGCCGGGTGTTCGTCTTCGACGTCGCGCCCGGGTCGTCTTCGACGGACGCCGCCGCGGACGCGCCCGTCGTCGCGGAGCTCCCCCGGGCGCCGGACTGCTGCAACGGCGCGGCCTTCCACCCGCACCGGCCCCTCGTCGCGCTGGCGTCCGGCCAGCGCCACTACGCGGACCCGGGCTCGTCGAGCGACGACGACGGCGCCGCGCGGACCGCGCCCGCCGTCCCCGCGCCGGCCGTCGCGGTCCTGCAATGGCCAGACGCTTAAAGCCCGCCCCTAGGCGTCCTCCTGCGTCTTCGGCGGGTTCGCGAGGATGAAGGCGATGACGTCGTCGATGACGCGGTCCGCGACGGCGTCCGGCGGCTCGTCGCCGGACAGCGACACGCGGACGTCGCACTGGCCGTAGAGCTCGCTCCGGTCCTCGAGCATGCCGTCGAGCTTCGCCTCGAGCTCGTCGGCGGGCCCGAGGAGCGGCCGCTTCGCGCGCTCCGCGTCGCTCCCGAGCCGCGCCGCGAGCGAATCTGTGGGCACGTCGAGCCAGACGACGATGCCCTGGCGGAGCGACGCCCAGTTGGCCTTGGTCGTGACGATGCCGCCGCCCGTGGCGATGACGAGGCGCACGTAGGCCGCGACCTGGCCCAGGACCTGCTCCTCGACCGCGCGGAAGCCACTCTCGCCCTCGGACTCGAAGATCGCCGCCACCGTCTGGCCCGTCGCCTGCTCGATGGTGCCGTCGGTGTCCACGAAGGTGTAGGACCCGAGCTGGCGCGAGATGGCGTCGCCGACGCTCGACTTGCCGCTCCCCATGAGCCCGACGAGGTAGACGTTGACGTTCTTGAGCTTCTCGGCGAGCTCGCGGCCCCGCGGCGTCGCCTTCTCGACGCCCTCCGTCGCGCTGCGCAGGCCCGGCAACCGCCGCGGCGCGACGGCGCGGAGCGACGGGTGCACGAACGCCTCGACCGTCGCCAACGCGGCGAGCGACAGGAGGAGTGCACGACTCATGCTCGCCGCCAACATCGCGATCCGGCAAGTGCGAGAACAGGTCAACAAGTTCTTGCATGTTCAACATGCACCGACGTTGTCGCTTTCGGCCTGGAACGCGCCTTCCTCCGCGCTAGTTAAGTATGGTTGCGAGGGAAGTCCGTGCTCTCGCGGGCCGCGGCGCGCGACACACTGGCTCTAAGCTACAAGGTGGGAGTCGGGGATTCTGCCTGGCTCTGGCCCGTGACGACCGCATTCGGGACCACCACGCGTACACCAGCCGGGGAATAGACTGCGTAGCCTGCGTATGAGCCCCGCATAGCGCCCGCCTGGCCGCAAGCCCGGCCAGCGCAGCACATTCAGCGACTTTTTGCCGGAGCCGCACCACACAAACGAGGGGCAGCTTGCGAAGGCAAATCTCGACGCCCATGTCGAAGCCGCCGCGCGAGGATGATCCCATCGAGGTGTTCGCCACGGACCCAGATATGGTCGACGCACCAAACTGCGCGCTCTGCGTGACCTGCGGCGCGGATCCCAACGAGGAAGCCTGGCCCATCGCGTCGTCCATTTCATGCCTCGTCGGCGCCGGCTGCGTCGTCCTGCCGCCCGACGACTTCGACGACGTCGTCGACCGCGTGCGCGACAGAGAAGCCGACGCGCCGGCGGTCCGGCCCCCGTCTTCCTGATTCGCGCGGCGCCGCCCGGCGGAGAAAGATCCGCCGCCGCCGCCGGCGCGGCCCCCGGCCCCCGGCGACGGCGTCGACCCCTGTTGTACATCCGGCGCGTGCGGTCCCCGCGCGCGTCCCCCGTTCTCGCGCGCCGTGGGGCGCGCGCGACCTCCTTTACGTGATTTCCTCGACGCGAGCGGGGAGGCGGCGTTTCGGCGCCGCCGTTGGCTCGACCCCGGGGCGGTCGGTAGGAGGGCTCGGTGGGACTCGGATTACCCGGCCCGCCGGCCTGTGTGCCCCTGAGACACGACCGCGGTCTCGTACCGCTCGCGGGAGCCGGCGGTGATGTCGCCGGCGAAGGCGGTCTCGTGGGCCAGCTGGGCCATGGCCGGGCCGCAGTCGCGGGCGACGGTCGCCAGCACAAGCCCGAGCCGATCATGGCACGTTCCTGCGGCATCGGGTCCTCGCCTGACCCTCGCCATCGGCCTCGGATCGGCAACCCAGCCTCAACGTATCCAGAGAGAGCTGTAATTGCTTGGCTGCTTGGCAGCGGGCAGCGCTGCTGGAGCCCGAAGGAGCTCTCCCTCGCGCCTGGCCGCGGCGACCCGCGCTTCTCGGCGCCGGACCGGCGCGGTGCCCCAACCGTCGGCCGCTCCCGCCCGCCATGACGCGGGCGCGCACCGTCGAGCGCTGCGCGAGCTAGAGCGGTGAAGCTCGGCCCGCCCTCGCGCTCCTAGGCGGTCGGTCGGTCGCGAGCGCGAGCGACCATGGGGAACGCGCTCATGTCGCGCGTGCGGCCGGCGCCCGAGCCCGAGCCGGCGCCCGTCGAGGAGGTTTTGGACCCGGTGCGGAAGCTCACGATGGCGGGCCGGAACCCGCGGCTCTCGTTCTACAGCAAGGCCAAGGAGAAGACGGAGAAGCTCGACGACGGCCGCTACGGCGAGATGTCCTGGTTCGACTTCCTCGTGCACACGGAGCTCTGCACCATGAACTACGACGCGCTGTCCAAGTCCGACGAGGACCAGCTCGCGCATCTCGTGCGCATGCTCGAGAACATGAAGGTGCCCGCGACGCTGCGGAAGCCCGTCGAGGACGTCATCCCCTTCGTCTGCGAGGTCAAGGCGAAGATGCCGAACAACCCCTACCACAACTCGCGGCACGTCACGGACGTGACCCAGTGCATGTACACGCTGCTCCTGGCGACGAAGGTCGCGCACCGCCTGGAGCCCATCGAGCTCGCGGCGGCGTTCGTCGGCGCCATCTGCCACGACCTCGACCATCCGGGCCTGTCGAACACGTGGCAGAACAACGAGCAGACGGAGCTCGCGCGCAAGTACGACGGCGAGTCGCCGCTCGAGCACCACCACCTCGACGAGTTCGTCGCGTTGGCCGCCAAGTACGACCTCCTCGGCAACATCGAGCCGGCGCAGGCGGCGCGCTTCAAGGAGATCGTGACGGAGATGATCCTCGCGACGGACATGGCGCGGCACGCGAAGCTCATGGAGAAGATCACCGCGAGCCTCACGGACAAGGCCTTCGACCCCATGCACGACGAGGTGGGCATCAACCTGCTGCTGGCCATCGCGCTCAAGTGCTCCGACATCAGCAACCAGGTGCGGCCCTGGACCGTGGCGAACCGCTGGAACGCCGTCGTCTACGAGGAGTTCTACGCCGAGGGCGACCTCGACCGCGCCAAGGGCCGCGCCGTCGCGCCGCTCCAGGACCGCACGTCCAACGACGTGAACAAGTCGAGCGTGGGCTTCATCCGCTTCATCGTCAAGCCCCTCTTCCAGATCTACGCCGACATCATGAAGCGCTGCGCGGACCTCGACGACCGGTCGATGGTCGACAGTCGCGCCGTCGAGGAGTGCCTCTACATCCTCGACGACAACATGCAGCGCTACGAGAACGCGCTGAACGGCATGGACAACGAGAACACGGAGGCCCAGTTCGAGACGCTCGACGCCCTCGCGGACCAGGTCGGCGACGGCGGCGCCGCGGCGCCGAACTGTGTGGAAATCAACCACTGGTTTGGGGGGTCCCCACCAAACTTCAGAACTCTCTATCTCGGTCAAATCGAAGTCGATTCGGCTGATTTTTGGACGAATCGATTGCTTTCATCGAGTTCTCGAAGCACAGCAGAAAACCTCGCGTCGAAACGGTCGCATACGCGCACATTGAAGTCGGGTTGAAGATTTGATTTCCACACAGGCGCCGAAGAAGACGCCGCCGCTCGCCGCGGCCGCGCGGACGCTCGGCGAGTCCGTGCTCGCGTCGCTCGACGACCCGAAGCACGCCCAGAGCCGGGCGACGCTGTCGAACCTGGACCTGCCGGGCATCAACACGGACGCGGGCTCGAACCTGCCGCGCGCGCTGCTCTACCACATGAAGCGGTACCGCGTCGCGCCCGCGCCGCCGGGCGGCGACCGCCGACGGACGTCGTCGGGCGACGCGCCGGACTTCACGGACCTCGGCGCGTTGAGCCCCGGCGCGCCGGCGCCCGACGACTCGCCGTCGAAGCACCCGGGGCCCAACAAGCTCCAGCCGCTCTCGCGGACGCCCGCGCCGCCGGTCGTCGCCGCCGACGAGTGAGAGTGGGCGCTCTTTTACCCCTCCCCCCCTTCGATCTTCCTCCGCTAACGCCGCCGTCTGTCTTAGTTGTAGATGCCCCGGAACGGCTTGTCGTTGTGGCCGGGGCGGAACGTGGGCACGGAGAGCGCCGCGCCGGACTCCTCGTGCGTGAAGCTCAGCATGAGCGGCGCGGCGTCCGCGGCCCAGGCGCCGCGGTCCACGGCGGCGAGCTCGCCCGGGAGCACGGCGCTCTGGAGCGCGACGGCCGCGAGCGGCGCCGGCAGGCTCGCGCCGACGGACGCGACGAGGCCCTCGACGGCCCAGTCCGACGCGCAGGCCGCGGCGCGCTGGCCGTCGACGGCGCGGCCCGCGCCGGTCGTCACCGCGACGACGGTGATGGGGCGCTTTTTGTCCGTGCGGGCGAAGACGCGGCGCATGACGTTCGCGACGCCGGAGACGTTCCGTCGCAGCGTCGCATCGAAGTCCGCCGGCGACGACTGCCACAGCGCCGCCGGCGGCGGCGCCGCGGCCGCGAGGCAGACGACGAGGTCGAGCTCGTCCGCCGCGTTCAACCAGGCGCCGACCTGGGCATCGTCGGCGACGTCGACGACGGTGAACGACGCGCCGCGCCAGCGGCTCAGGTCGTTTTTTTCCTGCTCCGTCTGCACGCTCCCGTGAACAAGGTAGCCATTCGAGCAAAAGTACCGCACGAGCTCGGCCCCGAAGGGCTGGGCGGCGTTGCAGATCGCGACGCGCTTGGCTGATGGCGCCTCCATTTGAAGGGCTGCTTTCGCGCGAGGTCGATGATGCCGTCGTGGTTCCACTCGCTGCGGAGGTGGGCGCCGGCATCGGCCCCTTGCGCGCAGACGAGCGCCATGTGGCCCCAGCAGATGCCGCCGCAGCAGTACCCGCCGCAACAGCCGTATCCGCCGCAGCAGCAGATGATGCCGCCGCCGCCGCCCGGGCCGCCGCCGCCGGGCGCGATGGCGCCGGGCATGGCGCACCAGCAGATGATGGCGCCGCGGATGCCCGGCATGATGCCGCCGCCGCCGCCGGGCCCGCCGCCGCCCGGCGCGATGGCGCCGGGCATGGCGCACCCGCAGATGGGCATGCCGCCCATGTCGGCGGGCATGCCGCCGCCGCCGCCGGGCCCGCCGCCGCCGGGCGCGATGGCGCCCATGGCGCCGCAGATGGGCATGCCGCCCATGTCGGCGGGCATGCCGCCGCCGCCGCCGGGCCCGCCGCCGCCGGGCGCGATGGCGCCGCGGCCGCCCATGGGCGGCTACGCGCCGCCGCCGCCGCCCGGCTACTACCCGCCGCCGCAACAAATGATGGGCGGCTGGCCGCGGCCGCCCATGCCGCCCATGATGGGCTACGGCCCGCCGCGGCCGCCCATGGGCGCCGGCCCGCCGCCGCCGCCCTACGACGGCCCCCTGCCGCCGGACCTCCAGCCGCTGCCGCGGTCCGTGGGCGTCGTCATCTTCCAGCGCATCGGCGTCGGCTTCACGCCCCAGCTCCTCGAAACCCTGAAGGCGTTACCGGAGCCGGCGGCGCTGGGCTGCGTGACGGAGATCGCGCAGTGCGTGCTGAACCGCGGCGGCCACATCGACAACCGGCCCGTCTACTTCGAGGCCGTCGTGCGCAAGCACACGGGCGGCGAGCTCGCGGCGCCGCCGTCGCAGGCCTTGGTCGTGCCCCACAAGCCCAACGCCGACGGGTTGAGCGTGCTCCAGGAGGTCGCGCCCGCGCCGCCGATCCGGATCGCCGACGACGGGCCCGACGACGACGGCGCGGACGACGACGGCGACGGCGACGTCCTCGCGCAGCAGCTGGCCCTCGTGACGCAGCAGCAGTCGCGGTCCCTGATCGCCGTGTCCTACGCGGACCCGAACCGCATCTCCAAGAACTTCGCGGCCGGCGAGATCTGGTCCGTGTCCAAGGACGGCCGCGATTTGGTGCTCGACAAGAAGGGGAAGAAGAAGCTGTGGAAGAAGCTGAAGCGCGAGGTCATCTACCGCGACGGCCCGGAGGAGATCGAGGCGAAGCGGCGCAAGGCGGAGCTCAAGGCCGCGGACGAGTTCCGCGCGTCCGAGGAGTACAAGCTCCGGGTCGCGCGCGACTTCGAAGAATTGGTCCCCGCTTTGATCGCCAAGGCCGCGGAGCTCGGCGCGACGCCGGGGGACCCGGACGCGGACATCCCGCGCGACCCGGACGTCGACGCGCCGAGCCGCCAGGACATGTTCATGGCCAAGGTCCACGCGGCGCAGGAGTTGATGCAGCAGTCCGCGGGCGCGCCGCCGTCGTTGAAGCCGCCGCCGCTCGCGGGCGACGCGGCCGCGCTCGGCCGCGCGGCGGCCAAGGCCCTCGCGGCGACGAAGCCCGACGGCGTCCTCTTCGCCGCGCCCGACAAGGCCGCCGCGCCGCCGGCGAAGGAGCCGTCGAAGCGCCGGTCCCCGTCCGCGTCGTCGGACTCGAGCGACGACCGCCGCCGCCGGAAGCACCACCGGAGCGACCGCAAGAAGCGGAAGCACCGCTACTACTCCGACGACAGCGACTCGGACCGCGGCGGCCGCCGCCGCCGCCGCTAAGGACCCCTTAGGGCGCCGTAGAGCGACACGCCGAGGCCCGTGCCGGCCGCGTAGCCGGCCGTGCCGAAGGCGACGGCGGGCAGGACCCGGCTCTCGAGCCCCGCGGCCTGCGCGAAGGCCGCGGCCGTCGAGGGCCCGCCGATGCACGCGTTCGACGCGACGAGCGCGTCGTCGCGGGACCAGCCGGCGAGCCGCGCCGCGGCCGCGAGGCCCACAGCGTGGACGGCGAGCGCGGTGCCCGCGAGCGCGAACGCCGGCAACCCCGCGCTCGCGACGAGCCGCAGAGGCGCCGACAGGCCGAGGCTCGCCTACCAAGAGCACGCCGGTGACGAATTTTCATCGTGTTCCCTCTCTCGAAAATCGTCGCGGCCGCAGGACGCCGCGGGCTCGCGTAGAAGCAGCGCAGCGCGTGGCCCGCCGCGGACCGCGCAGCCGCGCGGCGGCCCGGGCCGTCGACGGCGCGGCGCGCGGCGACGGCCGCCGCGGCGAGCGCCGCGGTCCGCGCGGACGGCGCGAGGCGTAGCGTCGCGGCGACGCAGGCCGCGGCGACGGCGACGACCGCGGCGCGCTCCGTCGCCGTCGGCGCGCGGGTCGGCGCCGACCCGCGCGCCGCACCGGTCGGCGCGCGTTTCTCCCCGCCTCCGGCTAGGGCGTTCAGCGCGAGGAAGTAGGCGGCCATGAGGACGACGTCCGCGGCGGCGAGCGCGGAGAGCAGCGCGCGGCCGGCCGCGGACGCGCCGAGGCCTACGAGGCGCGACGTTTCCAAAGTCGCTCGACGACGAACGCCGGCCCGGACCGACGGCCTCGGCGACCTGGAAAAAATTGGCGCTCCCGCCGACGAAGCTCGCGGCGAGGCAGGCCGCGCCGCCGGCCGCGCCGGCGTCGCCGAGCGCGGCGAAGCGCCGGCCGACGCGCGCCGCGGCCACGCCGCCCGCGGCGCTCGCGGCGGCGCCGGCGGCGAAGGCGAGGCCGACGCCGCGGTAGGCCGCGCGGGGCGCCGCGCCCGCGGCGTCCTGGCCCAGGAGCGTGAGCGCGAGCGACGCGGGCAGGACTAGCCGCCAGCACTCGTCGTAGGCGACCGACGCCGCGGGCGCGAGGCCGCCGTTGCTCAGGAGCGCGCCGCAGGCGAGCGCGGCGCTCGGGCCGTCCCAGCCGCGGCGCTCCGCCGCGCGGCCGGCGAGCGCGGCGGCGGCGACGCTCCCGGCGGCGACGCAGGTGGAAGTGGCAACGCCGAGCCGCGTCGACGGTTTGAGACGAGTTACCGGTGCACGTAACGCGTCGCATCGCTGCAGCAGCAGCGCGAGTAGGAGGGCAGAACGCATCGCAGCTTTTGCCACACTGCTCGATGAACTGCTCCTTGAAGCCCTCGCCGAATCGTAGCCGAATCGATTTAGTCTGCGCTGCGACGCTGCCGCGCCGCAACATCACCGATGTCTCTTCGCGCGTCCATGAACGCGGCGCTCGGCGAGGCCATCGGCAGCATCCTGAAGATCTTCACGACGTCCGTGGAGCCGGACTACACGACGCCGTGGAGTGTGTACATGGAGGAGGAGTGCACGGGTTCCGGTTTTGTCATTCGGCTCGAGAGCGGCGAGCTCGTCATCGTCACGAACGCGCACGTCGTCGCGCAGCACGTCGACGTGCGCGTGCGCAAGTCCGGCGGCACGCGCAAGGTCAAGGCGCGGTGCTTGGTGGTCGCGCACACGGCCGACTTGGCGCTGCTCACCGTCGACGACGCGCGGTTCTGGGACGGCGTCGTGCCGCTCGTCTTCGGGTCGCTGCCGCGGCTCTACGACAACGTCAAGGTCGTGGGCTACCCCATGGGCGGCGACAACGCCTGCGTGACGTCGGGCGTCGTCAGCCGCGTCGACACGACGCCCTACGCGCGCGGCGCGGAGCGGCTCCTCGTCGTCCAGATCGACGCGGCGATCAACAGCGGCAACTCCGGCGGGCCGGCCCTCGACGACGCGAGCCGCGTCGTCGGCGTCGCGTTCTCGGGCTACGCGGGGAGCGCGGACAACATCGGCTACGTGATCCCGGCCGAGGTCGTCGGCCGGTTGCTCCTGGACTACGCGGAGCTCAAGCTGCGGGCGCCGCGGACGCGGGAGCCCGTCAAATGGCCGGGGCTGTGCGACCTGGGCGTGTCCCTGCAGCCGCTGGAGAACCCGACGCACCGCGCGGCGTTGCGCGTCGACGACGACGCCGGCGGCGTGCTCGTGACGCGCGTCGCGCCCGCGGGCTGCGCCAAGGCGGCGGGCCTGCGCGCGGGGGACGTGCTCGTGGCCATCGGCGGCATCTCCGTGGCGAACGACGGCTCCGTGGCGCTGCGGGGCGGCGAGCGGGTCAACTGCGAGCACCTCTGGACGTCGCGGCGGTCCGGGGACGAAGTGAACATCGGGGTGTTGCGCGGCGGCGTCGCCCGCGACGTCGACGTCGTCCTCGCGCCCCTGCGGCGGCTCGTGCCCATCGCCGACGGCCACGACGCGAAGCCGTCGTACGTCGTCTGCGGCGGCCTCGTCTTCATGGCGCTGTCGCTGCCGTTGATCCTCGCGGTGTCGACGGACGACTCGGACGACGAGGAGGACTGCGGCCTCGAGACGAGCGACGCGCTGCGCCACGCGGACTGCCTGGGCAAGGACGCGACGCGGGAGCTGGAGGAGGTCGTCGTCTGGGTGCAGACGCTGACGCACGACGTCAACTTTGGGTACGCGCACCTCTGCCGCAACTTCCCGCGGCTGCGGACGGTCAACGGGACGTCCATCGCGTCGCTCCAGCATCTGGTGGACGTCGCGCGCGGGCCGCCGCCGGCGTCGGGGTTCCTGGATTTCGTGCTCGCGCCGCCGAACGGCCACGAGTCGATCCACGTCGTGCTCGACGCGGCGCTCGCGCGGAAGACGGAGCCCGCGCTCCTGCGGCGGTCCAAGGCAGGGCAGGACAAGGGTGATTCAACGTCGCTTCAACGTGAGTGTTCCGCGCGCGCGCGTTCTGGAAAAAGCATCCACGCTTCGAGACCGTTCCGAGAGATGATCGCTCGTCCAAAGATCAGCCGAAACGAGTGGAAAATGGCCGAGAGAGGAGCCTTTGAAGTTGGGAATTTCGCACTCTTGTCCTGCCCAGGTCCAAGGTGCCCGCGCCCTTCTCCGGGGACCTCCGCGGCCCCGCGAGCCTCGCGGCGGCGGTGGCGAAGCTCGACGTGGCGGACGCGCCCGCCGAGAACGCGCCGCCCGCCAAGGACGCGCCCGCGAAGGACGCGCCCGCCAAGGACGCGCCCGCGAAGAACGGCCGCGGCCGGGGCAAGGGCCGGGGCAAGGGCCGGGGCAAGGGCCGCGGGCCGGCGCCCCCGCCGCCGCCGCCCTAACTCGGCGATCTTTACGAGGGGTACCAGTCGCGGACCGGCGCCCCCGCCGCCCTCACTAGGCGATCTTTACGAGGGTCACGTCGAAGTGGAGCGTCGCGTGCGGCGGGATGTCGGGCTTGGACCCCTTGGCCCCGTACCCCAACTTTGGCGGGACGACGAGCGTGCGCCGGCCGCCTTTCTTCATGCCGAGGATGCCCTCGTCCCAGCCCTTGATGACGTCCTTGTTGCCCAGCGTGAACTTGAAGTTCTTGCCCTCGTCGAAGCAGTGGCCGTCGTCGAGCGTGCCGCGGTAGTTCATCGACACCTCGTCGCCGAGCTCCGCCGCCGGGCCCTCGCCCTCGGCCGCGTCCTCGACGACCACGGTCTCGTCCGCGGGCTTCTCCACCGGCGCGTCGCCAGCCACTCTAAAGCTCTGGCCCGTCTGCTCGAGCTTGCCGCCGGCGACGCCCTTCTTGAGCGCGGACTTGATGGCCGTGGCGTTGTCGCACTGGAACTCGCTCTTCAAGTACTTGGAGATGGCCTGGCGCGACGCGCCTTTGTGGTCCTGCACGGCGCGGATCGCGACGATGACCTTGTCGAGGACAGTTTTGGGCGCCATTGCGAGATGCCGCTTTGGAGTGGGTTGTTGTTGATGGCAACAAACCGATGTTTACCTCTTGGGCAGGCTCTCGATTGGTGCTCCGCGGGCAGCATGCGCGCCGCGGTGCTCGTCGTCGTGGCCGCCGCAAGCGCCGACGACGCGCCGTGGAAGTTCCTCGCGTCCTACCCGGCCCAGCTCGACGCCCTGCCCTGCGAGAAGGTGACCATCGACGGCGTCCTCGACGAGCCCTGCTGGCGGAAAGCGCCGTGGACGGGCCCCTTCGAGGACATCGCCCAGCCGCTGCATCCCGGCGCGCGCATCCCCGACAGCTACCAGACGAAAGTCGCCGTCGCCTACGACGCCGACGCGCTCTACGTCGCCGCGGTGCTCAAAGAAACGAACCTGTGGGCGACGATCCGCGGGCACAACGAGGACCTGACGGACCACAAGGCGCCCTGGTGGAACCAGGACTTTGAGTGCTTCTTCGACGCGTCGCGGACGACGCATAACTACGTCGAGTTCGAGACGAACGCGCTCAACGCGACCTACGACGTCCTCTGGCGCGTGCCCCAGCACGGCTTCGACAGCCTCGGCGTGCCCTGCGCGCCCGGCGCGGCGACGTGGTGCGGCAACTCGACGTTCAACGGCGGCAACCAGACCTGGACGCTCGCGCCGGAGCTCGAGGCCGCGACGGCCGCGGACCGCGCGTTCGTGCCGCTCGACGGCGACCCGCGCGGCGACTGGACCGTGGAGCTCCGGTTCCCGCTGACCCAGGCGCACGGCGGCGGCCTGCTCAACGGCGGGCCCGCGCCGGCGGAAGGTGTCTTCTGGTCCGCGAATTTCGCGCGCGCGGAGCACCCGCTGCCGCGGACGGGCGCGGACGCGCTGTCGCTCGACTTTTCCGCGAAGAACTACACGGCCTTTTGCGCGGGCGTGCTGAAGACGCACCCGACGCTCCTGGGCACGGACCAGTGGAGCTGCTACTGGGAGTGGGTCTGGCAGAACATGGGCGCGACGCGCTACATGCACAACCCGGACCTGTGGGGGCTCCTGCGCTTCGCGAGTTCGGAGGCGCCGAAGGCGCCGTGCCGGGACCCGCAGTACCCGCTGCGCCACGTGCTCCACAACGCGCAGCGGGCCATGATCTCCGCGTTTCTGAACGACGGCGCCTACCCCGAGAGCCTCGGCGCGCTCGCGCGCTGCGGCGCCGCGTGCTGCAACGCGACGACGAGCTGCGACCCGTCGGCCCTCGCCGTCGCGGCGACGACGCCGGCGGTCTTCAACGTGTCCGTCGCCGTCGCGCCGGGCGCCGCGTGCGTCGACTACGCGGCGCGGACGACGACGGGCGGACCCTGCTTCACCCTGTCGGCGACCTTCGCGAACCCGGAGACGGGCCGCGTCGCCCGCGGCACGATCCGCGAGGACCGCTACACGACCGTGGCCGGCGACCTGGGGGCGGGCTGCCTCTAAATCGAGGCTCGTCTTCACTCACTTCAGCTTAGGCCGCCGGGAGAGGAACCCCGCCTAAGACCGACCTCCAGGCCAGGCCCTCGAACGGCCCGCCGTCTTCAAGTTGACGTGCACGTGCCAGAAGTTGAATTTGAGAATCGCCACAGGCAGCATGCGCAAGATGCGATGCGCGTGATCAGCTGGCTGCTCGCCTCAACGACCTCCGCCTTTTTGCTTCGCGGCGGACCCTGCATCACAAACACAGCCATGTCGGTCTTCCGCGGCGGCATCGCCGACGGCGACCCCGCGCGCCTCGAGCGCGACGCCCTGACGAGGCGCTTCCTCGCGGCCTTCGGGGACGATACCAACCCCGTCGTCGTCGCCTTCGCGCCCGGGCGCGCGAACCTCATCGGCGAGCACACGGACTACCAGGACGGCCTCGTCATGCCCTTCGCGCTCGACGTCGGCGTCTACGTCGCGTTCCGGGAGCGCGACGACGACGCGCTCAACGTCTTCGCGGAGGACTTCAACGCCTGGGGCGCCACGACGCTCGGCGCCGTGCGGGCGGCGCGGGCCGCGGACCCGGCCTACGGCCCGGCCATGGATCCCAAGTGGCTGCGCTACGTCGCGGCGCCCTTCGACTGGCTCCGCTTCGGCGCCGACGGGTCCGGCCGCTGCGCGCGCGGCTGCGACGCGCTGGTCGCGTCGGACGTGCCCGTCGGCGGCGGCGTGTCGAGCTCGTCGGCGCTGACCGTCGCCTTCGCGCTCGTCGCGCGCCACCTCCACCGGTCCGAGGCGCTCCGGCCGCGCGCCGACGGCAAGAGCGCGTTTCTATTGGCCACGTGCGAAGCCGAGTGGCACTTCAGCGGGCTCAAGGGCGGCATCATGGACCAGACGGCGTCGCTCTACGGCCGGCCGAACATGGTCTTCCCCATCGACTGCCGCCGGGGCGAGCTCAGCGACCTCGGCGACGGGTCCTCGTCGCCGTACGTGCCCGCGGCCGGCGCCGCGTTCGTCGTATTGAACACCATGGTGGCCCACTCGCTGCCGGACTCGCCCTACGCGAAGCGCCGCGAGTCCTGCGAGCGCGTCGCCGCGCTGCTCGCGGCGACCCGGCCGGGCTGGACGCACCTCCGCGACGCGTCGGACCTCGGCACCGACGCCGCCGTCGATCTCGTCGCCGGGCTCGAGGCCTCGGGCCGATGCTCCGCCGAGGACGCGCGGCGCGCGCGCCACGGCGTCGCGGAGAACAACCGCGTCCGCGCCGCCGCGGCCGCGCTCCGGGCCAAGGACTGGGAGGCGCTCGGGTCCTTGATGTCGGCGGCGCACGCGAGCCTGCGGGACTTGTACGCGGTGTCCTGCGACGAGCTCGACGTCGCCTGCGACATCGCCGAGGCCCTCGAGGGCTGCCACGGCGCGCGCATGATGGGCGGCGGCTTCGGCGGCTGCGTCATCGCGTTGTGCGACCCGGCGGCCGCGGACGCCGTCGCGGCGGAGCTCCGGGCGCGATACAAGGCGCGGACGGCGGACAAGGCGCCGGGCGGCATCGACGCCACGGTCTTCGTCACGACGCCGGGCGCCGGCGCGTCGCTCCACTTCCCGGGGGACGCCGAGCCGGTCCGCGCCGCGGACGACGCGGCCCTCTGGCGCACGGCGTGATCGTTATAATGTCCGCGTAAACTTACCGGAACGCGTCGCGCGCGGATCGGTACGCGTCGTCCGCGGCCCGGGACACGGAGTCGAAGAACGACGTCCGGCGCTGCTTCGCCGGCTTGTTGCCCTCGGAGCGGCAGAGCGAGCAGCCCAGGGAGAACTCGACGCCGTGGGGCGGGTGCTTGACGCCGAGCGGGCAGTGTCGCGGCCCGCGGCACGGCGCGCGGTCCGCGTCGAGCGCGCCCCGGTTCGCGGCGCCGTGGCATGAGGAACAGAACGACGTCGTGCCGAAGCAAAAAAACGACGCCTCCGCGCAGCAGTAGCGGCACTTCCACGCGATCGCGGCGTCGCCGTGGCCCCGGGCGCAGCCCCTGCCGACGACCTGGCACGCGCCGCAGCGCCGCGTCGCGCCCGGGCCCTCGCCCTCGGCCATCGCGCCGCACGCGCGCGCGCCGCCGACGAAGGCCCGGCCGCAGTCGCCGCACTCGTAGAAGAACCACGTGGCCTGCGAGGACGCGTGAGCGCGCGAACATTTCTCCTCCCCGACGCGGCGTCCGCGCGAGCGCGTGCTCGAGCGGCCGGCCGTCGAAGTCGCCGCCGGGCGCGACGCGCCGCTTCTCCGCGGGGTCCGCGCGGAGCGCGCCGCGGGCCGCGGCGCGCACGGACGCCTTGAGGCCGTCGGCGAGCGCGAGGCGCGCGAGGAGCGCGTCGTGGCGCAGAGGACCGTCGCGCGCCGGGCAGGTGACGTGGCCGAAGGAGATCTCGGGCCCCGGGAAGCCGCGGTCGAGCGCCTCGGCCGCGCAGCTGAGGTGCACCCTATGCCCGCAGTCGAGTTCGATCTCCGGCGAGGCCCGGAGCGCCTCGCCGCAGTAGAGGCAGTCGAGGCCGTCGCACGCGGCGCAGGTCGCCGGGCACACCGCCTCGCCCGCGAGGCCGCCGCAGAAGTGGCCGCACGCGAGCCTGCGATGCGTATGGGGTCGCGCGCGTGCTGTTGGCGCAGCGAGACGCCGGCGCATCACTTCTTCGCGCAGCGTTTCGCGAGGCCCGGGCCGCAGGCGCCGCAGGCGCCGCGCGCGCGCTCGCAGAGGTCGACGAGGTCCCGCTTCTCGTTGATGGTGGGTTCCAGGAGCCCCCGCTCCCGGAGGTAGCGCCGCATGGCCCGCGTCGACGAGCGCGCCGTCCAGGGCGCGTCCGACGACACGACGACGTCGCCGCAGAACGTGCATTTCGGCGCGCGGTGCTCCTCGCAGGTGCGGCCGTCGTGGTAGGGCGTCTCCCGGCACGCGGCGCAGAACGTCGCGCCGCAGGCGCAGCGGAAGCGCCACGTCGCGCGGTGCAGCACGTGCGCGTGGCTCAGCGCCGAGCCGTCGTCGCCGACGGTGATCGCGCCGCGCGGCGCGGTCCGGTCGAGCTCGGGGACGCCCGTCATCCAGTCCGCGCGCGGCTCGAGCCACGCGCCGCAGCCCGCCGGGCAGGTCACGAAGCCCGCGGCGCGCATCTGCTCGTCGGACGTGACCGGCGGCGGCGCGCCGTCGACGTCCATGCCGTCGTCGGAGCCCGTCCATTCGCCCTCGTCGTCCTCGATGGGCAGGCGCACGTCGACCACCTCCTCGATGACGGCGTCGTCGTCCTGCTCCATTGCGGGTGCTGCGACGCGCGCCGAAGAGGTGCAGTTACTGCGGACTGCGACGCGCGCCGAGAAAGGCGCGGTTGCTGCGGACTGCGACGCGCGTCGAAGAGGTGCAGTTGCTGCGGACTGCGACGCGCGTCGACAGAGGCGGACCGCGCGCCGAACAGCTCAAGACTCAAAATTCAAGATGCCTTCAAGAGGCCTTTTCGCAACAATTTTTACTAAAGCTCGAGCTCGTCGTCGTCCGGGATGCCCTCCATGCGCAACGCGAAGGCCTTGACGGCCTCGGCGCGCTTCGCCTCGTCGCCCGGGTCGGCGGTCCACGCGTCGATGGCCGCGTCGCGCGCGGCCTTGTCCTCGGGAGACTCGGCCTTGCGCGCCTGGCGGATCCACTTGCGCTCCTTGTCCGTGAGCGTCGTCGCCGGGTTCGCCGGCGACGGCTTCGGCTCGCGCCGCCGCATGACGGTCTTCCGGAACCGCTTCGCGGCGAGGGAGTCGTGGACCTGGGAGAAGAGCGTCTTGAAGCGCGCGCGGTGGGCCGCGGCCTTGGCCTGGCCCGGCGCGGCGACGAGGGGCTTCTCGTAGCCCGCGACGACGGGCGCGGCGGCGGCGAGCGCGTCCTGCTCCCTGCGTTTCCTCAGCTTCGCGTCGATGCGAAAATAGGCGACCTCGAGGCGCCGCGCCATCAACGCGAATCCCAATTCGACGGCGTGCTGCATGGGCGTGCGCTTCGCGCCGTTCTCCTTGTGCCAGGGGCTGCCGCCCCAGAGGAGCGCCTCCGCGGCGGACTCGTGGCCCGCGCCCATGGCCAGGTGCAGGGGCGTGTCGAGGCCCCGGTGCGTCACGGCCGCCGGGTTCGCGCCGTGGCGAATCAAGAGCTGGATGCACTCCGTCTGGCCCTCGCCGGCGGCCCGGTGCAGGAGCGTCACGCCGCTCCAGCGCGTCGTCGTCACCGTGCACTGGCCCGCGTCGAGGAGCTTCTCCGTCAGCGGCACGTTGCCCGTGCGCACGGCGTAGAAGCAGTCCTGCGTCATATGGGCAGCGAGACGAGAAACGCGTGCAGTTAATCCAGCGCGGCCATCAGTAGGGGCAAACAAGGACCCCCGGCCGGGGTTGCCGCCGCCGCCCGTCGACGAGTGCGGCGAG